CTTCAGTACATGTTAGTACTGCAGTATAGACTCCACATGATAATTCATTAATTAAAACTGAAAACTTTTCCTTATGTAAGTTAAATTTTATATACTACAGTATAGAGTGCACTTTGGCTTCACGGGGGCAGAAATAACACAGTAGTCTAATAACAGAGGTTTCATAGGATTGCCATGGTGATATAGAATATATTAAATACAGTAGAAAAGTTGTCCTTGGTTCATGCATGCATTCCTCATGTTTGTTCCTGCATTATACAGCAGCTGACAGCTTTCAAGGTAAAATCCATCAACAAATAACTGCAGGCCCTCATGTGAGAGACTTTCAGCCTCTTGTACACACTGCTCTGCAGAGTGAGGCTGGCTCTGGGCTGCTCACAGTAATCAGCATGAAGCACATGACCTGCATTTGTCCTTAAACACAATGAGCCCCAGTGTGCTAACGAAGGGGCTGTACACTTGTAATCAATTTAACAATCTAATTAGAAGAAAAAAGTAAAAAATGGGACTTACCAAAGGGCAGAGCACACAGAGGCCTGCTTATTTCTGTCGCTGGCTTTGGCTGAAAATAAAGTTGATGGTTTCCCCCGGAGGCACTTCCTCTAGTGATTTGTTGTCTTGTGATATCAGTTGATAACGTATCGCAATTCCAAAAGCGATCTCTTTGAACTGCAAAAGAGGTTTAACTCATTTCTTCAACATTTGTGTTAAAATGTTAGAGGAAGCCTTGCACCTGTCCTCTGTCGCTTTATTACAGGAAATTCAACAAACCAAGTCCACAAAAAAAAAATTAAACCAAGCACTTGTTCTAAGAGAAAATATTTCAGTAGATTTTTCAAAAGCGATGTATTCATATCTCAACTCTGGGTCTTCTGACTCTAATGGTCAGTTTTTGATAGAATAATCTAAAAAACACAACTTAATAAAAACAGATTCACACACTGAAGAGTAAATACCATACACTGTACAGAACAAGGATTTAATCACAGTAATGTCAACCCTTGGTTTCTGAAAAGGGGTTAGAAGCCTGATGACTGCCGACGCCACACTGGCAATACTCAGCCTTTGCTTAGGTCATTCTAGAAACAGGCAAAGAGGCGGAGCTGAGGCAGGCTTTAAGCCTCCTGTCAGTCAACTCGGCCACACGAATTTAATAAAAACAATTCTTAGGCTTCGTAAAATCGAAACGGATGAGTCACCCCTTGGCAGTGTTTAGTTATAAAAATTAGCTATTCATGCCCAAGTTGTTCTTTTGAACCACACCATAAACATGTTTAATTCTGCTATAAAAAGTAGGAACTTTAATATGGGACCTAATGGAGATTCAGCGCATTTAGAGCCAGCCTCTAGTGGACACTTGAGGAACTGCAGTTTTTTGCACTTCTTCCACATTGGCTTCATTTTCCATCACTGGCGCTTGCAACTTGTGAAATATTGACTCCTTGGACTTCTTCTTGCTCTCATGTTTTGATTTCCTCTGCAGGCATTTGTTAATAAAATATGAATTATTTTTGCACACATAAAAACACACAAGCACCCGAGGGAACTTTTAAAGCAGTCCGGAATCAATTTAAAAAAAAAAAACTTAAAACACATACACATTTTTTTTACAGTGTATAAATCTGCACGAACACAATCATCGACCCTAAATCAATTCTGAGTGTGCTGACAGATGTTAGTGAATTCTGTTTAACGCAGCTCATTTGTTGAATTGATGTTGCTCGGATTCTTTGAGAGCTCCTTCAAAGAAAAGAGCCGTTTATGCTCCTCACAACAAATGGTCCCCTACTTGAAGAAGTATAACTTACTGAAATGCTTTCAGGTAAGAATAGTTTTCCATCACTGGCGCTTGCAACTTGTGAAATATTGACTCCTTGGACTTCTTCTTGCTCTCATGTTTTGATTTCCTCTGCTGGCATTTATTAATAAGACATGAATTATTTTTGCACACATAAAAACACACAAGCACCCGAGGGAGCTGGCATGAAACCCTCAGTGGTTACTTGTTATCAAGATTTATCAAGAAGCAGACTTCTTTGACATTAATAGCTTCTTGCGTAGATGTTGCTCTGTGACATTAATTAAACATCTCAATTTGAAAACAACCTAACATAAGTCTGACTATGGCTCAAGAAGAAGACTTAAACTTCTAAATACAAAAAAGTGGAAAATAATTCATGATAATCAGAAACAAGCTTTTGTTATTAGCTCATTTGCTTTTCAGCTTTCTTTGACAATGAGCCCGCTGGCCCGTGTGTGACGAACACAGATAATGTGACAGATTTGTTCATGATGTTGTGAACCGTCCGCCGGCTGATGTTTATTCGGGGGGTGTGTGTTGCTTCAGTTTCGCCCATTAATCACACGATAACAGAAACAAGGAAACACAGAGGAGTAAAATGCCTGTGGGAGTTATGCCAGGCAAACAGATTTTCTATTAGCTTGAAGTGTTACATAAAATTCTCTCTCCTCTTTGGGAATTAAGCATTTTCTGCATCCTACCCTGCTTGTGTTGGGGCTTTTTTCTCAGAAGAGTGGATCGCGTCAGGAGTCAGGAATCAGGGGGAAAGAGAGCATGTGGGTAATGACATGCAGGAATGGAACCACATTTTGGATTTGAACCTGGGCTGCCTGCTTGGAGGACTTTAGCCTCAGTACATGGGGAACACTAACCGCTAAGCTACTGGCGCCCCCATTTGTCAACTTTTAGGTTTAAACTATTTAAATGAAAATGACATACTTGAAAGCTCTTATTGGTCTGAAGCTCTGCCGGTTTTGAATAGAGAATGATTCATCTTGAGAGCAATGAGAGCAGAACAATATGCATGAATCATGGAGGACTTACTGAAAACCATTTCCCTTATTAAGTGACATGTTAAACTCTGAAGGCTTGAATCAGTGGAGACGTCTTCTCTGCAGGTATTTGCTAATAGATTTCTGTCTCCTTATACTCTGGGGATGAGCTCTGTGTTTCACTTTCCTGTTGCTGTGAGGAAAAGCCCAAAGGTTTCCAAATAAGGCCGTGGTGAGCTCCGGCAGTATTAATAGAATAAGCCTGCTGCCGAGGAATATTTGTATTGACTTGTTGAAAGACTTTATCTGATGCTTGCCGTTTCCATGGCAGCGTGGGGGTGGGATGCTACGCGGCGGCTGCTGCTGCGGTTGGAGCTTCATGTGCAGCTGCATTGGGCTAATGTCACTGTAGGAAGCAGGAACTCTGCTTTTTAAATGTCACGTTTGGACAGTTTCCAGCTGATGTGAAGCACGAGCACAACATTATTTTTTATGGAGAGCACGCAGACCTTTACACTCTTGCAGGCAGAAAGATGCCCCCAGATGTTTGTACCTCCAAACCTACCAATCCTGCCCCTGAGGAAATAAAACATCCCATCCCTCCCTGCTGATCATATGCCTCCAAAACATTTGCTAAGCTAACTGGCCCCTCATAGACAATAAAGCAAACCAGTTTCTCTGTAGTTCTTCACCTGTGGGACACATCATTGTCTTCTTTTCCTTCTGTTCTGCCTTCTCTATCAATGAGAGATCAGCACTTTTATTTATTTAGAATGCAATAAAAAAAATCCCTCTAATCTCTGAACTGTGCTTTCTTTAATTTATAGCCATCGTACACGCTCCCAGAAAGTCATTCAGAGTTTGGAAGATCTGCTTTCTGTAACCGGGCAAACTTTATTTAAAAAAAGCAGATTCCAGCAACAAGCCCAGATTACCAAAGAAAGTTCCAAGTTCATTTCTGATTTTAGATGTTTTTTTAATTTTAATATTAGATATAATATTACACATAAATAAAGCAGAAATCAAGTATCTCTGTAAATGTCATGAGTCATGACTGTCTACAATGAGTGAAAAGCTGGAGTTCCACTGGCTGTTTGTCGGGCCGTGTTCACATGGACAGGACGACCTTGCGTTTAAAGCTGCTTAGCCGAGAACTAGACAAAAATCTGTACGCCACAAGCTAATTTGAGTCTGCTAACATTAGCCTGCTAACACAACAATGCAGACCAGAGGCAATTGAAGCTTGAGCCAAGGACAAATTGTCCGCCGCTTGTGGTTAATGCTGCTTTCCATTTGATAACTCCTTTGTGTGAATGCGAGTTGAGGGTGGTTGGAGGTGTGTCCTTTGAGGAGAGCGGAGGCTTCAGTATGGTGGAGGTGTCACCAAACAGCAGTTTGTTTTTTTTTTGGTTTCATGCTGAGCGACCTCTACTGGATCCAAAAGTCACACATTCTTCCCTTAAGTTGACTTTGTACTAAGGGGCTTGATAGAGTTGTTGTAACAGCTAGGAGGCCTCTGATTAACATCCCAGGTAATCCATGAATGAAAAGGAGAGAGTGTGTTGACAAGACAACTCAATTTGAAGTATAAGTTAGTTAAAGTCAAAGATTACAAAAAAACAAATTAGTTTGACAATTTAACTTTTTTTTTTTGTTAAGAATGAATACAAATTTTTATCAACTTTCCATCTCAAATTCAGTTAACTTCAAACTTTAAGGCAGTCTGGAATAAATTAAAACACATAAGATATTTTTTACAGTGTAGAAACAGTCTATAAATCTGCACGAACACAACCATCGACCCTGAATCAATTCTGAGTGTGCTGACAGATGTTAGTGAATTCTGTTTAACGCAGCTCATTTGTTGAATTGATGTTGCTTGGATTCTTTGAGAGCTCCTTCAAAGAAAAGAGCCGTTTATGCTCCTCACAACAAATGGTCCCCTACTTGAAGAAGTATAATTTACTGAAATGCTTTCAGGTAAGAATAGTGCTGTCTAAGTAAATATTAGTCCAGCCAAAATAAAGAGGATCATGGGAAATAGGCCCTGGCTGTGTTTATCTTAAAAGGCATTAGTCTTCTGTGGTTCAGCTCGGGTTACTTAAACAGTTAGATAAGATGTCCAAATAGCAGAAAGAGTGTGTAACCTTTTCTTAATCCACTTCCTTTTTTTTGTCTCGCACCTCTCTTCTTTGTTTTCCTCGGTCATGCATCAAGTCCAGCCCATGTTCCGGCAGCCGCTCCTCCCTCTGAGCGTGCTCGGTTTTCTGCGTGGAGACCTGCTGAGGGTTTTTTTTTTTTTTGACTCGATAAAGACGCGCTGTGTTTGTTCAGTCTGTTCCGGCAACAGAAAAGGCCCGTGGTGTGAATGAGATTCAGCTGGCTGATTCAGCCCATTAAATGGCTCTACAAAAAGAATGAGCTGCTTGCTGCCAGTCCCAGGACCCACTGTATGCCTGGCACTGAATGGAAACAATGTCTCTTTAGCTCCGGTGCCTTGGACTCATGACAGCATGCAAGCTGTTTGATAGGTGGAAACTTGGACCAGAGCCATGAAAGCTGGAGGTTGTGATTTGCTGTAAATTAGAAATTGAAGTTTAAGTGGGGCACACGCATGCCAGTGTACACAAACAAAGATTCTCCCACTCATGATGTCCAACCTCCCCTCTCTGTTGAAGCCCATATTGCAATAACTTCTAAGAATGAAACACATGTATAAGCACTCATGAGTCGCTGCTGTGTTTGTAAAAGGGTGAGGATGACATGTAGTGTACAGCGATTCTTGGTGGTCGGACGACTATGAAAGTGCTTTTTCAGTGAGGTCCTTTTCAGCATTTTTGCAGGAGGGCAGCAGATTTATTTCACAGCACTGAAAAAGCTTAAAAAAAGTGTATTAATTTAAATGTACATAGACGCATTAAGCAGGTTTATATTTTCTGTAAACCTTTCTTTTCGACTAACCACTGTACTGTCACAGCTAAACCTTTGTTTCAGAGTTTCTTGCACTCCTTTGCAAAAAACAACTGTAGTCTAAAATGCAATGTTAAAGCCTGTGCAAGGGAAGTGTACTTATACGACATGACATACATGATGTTCACACAGACAACACGATAAATCAACATTATGGAGGAATTTGGTATGCTGCACTTTGGCGCCCAGCGAAGGTCTCTGAGTGCACCGGCACTGTCTTAAAAAACACATTTAGTGTATTGATATATCCAGCTTGGCGTCAGACCTGCAGCCTAGTGTAACGTGAAGCTAGCCTCTCTCCAATGTGTAAAAGCCTGTCCAATATTTACTGTAGTCCAGCTTCTTGCCCGGTTACTCTCCCTTTTACTCTTCTTAGCTTCATTCGTCAACGTCCTCTTCCATCTCTTAGCCTCGGCCATTGTGTCAAACGGTATCCAGAAGGCGACCTGGGCACACTGTGGAAATGAGATGGACGACATTCTCCCTGTTGAGAGTTATTGTACTACTCGATCGACTCTGGAACTATTCAAGGTGTAAAAGTGACATATTGTTGCTGTAAAGACTTCTGTTTTAGATGCTTGAGAATGGCTGTCGTCATCATGTTTTTTAGACCCATATTGTCACGACTTTGTTATTTCTCTATCCTGGTGAAGAAGTCGCGACTTGTCAGCGGGAAGATCTTTCTTTTAGTATTTGCTTAAAAATTGTCAATTTTTCTCAAAATGGGACCATAATTTATAAAATAAACATCCTGCTGTTTTAAAGTAGCATGGAAGTGAGCAATTGAGTCCATTCACTCTTTAGGTAAATGTTTACTAAAGTAATAAATTAGCTGTAAAGTCGAGATATTATTAGTTATCGTCTCATACAATCAGTCCTTTTATTGCAAACGATGAGTCGCCCCCTGCTGGTCATTAACAAGTATGACGGTTTAAGACTCTCACATTTGCTTCACTTTTGAAAACCGAGAGTCTGTGTCTACTTTTCTATACAACCTACGGACAATCTAACCCTCTGATGCTCATGGACTCCCTGTCTTTACATATTCTGCTCTCGGTTTTACCCCACAGATAGTGTCCAACGTGCTGATCTTCTCTTGTACAAACATCGTGGGAGTGTGCACCCATTATCCCGCTGAGGGCTCCCAGAGGCAGGCCTTCCAGGAGACCAGGGAATGCATTCAGGCTCGCCTCCACTCCCAGAGGGAGAACCAGCAGCAGGTGAGAGCCAACATGCGTTTTAGGGTGAACAGAGGGAGAGCACTGCAGTCCTTAAAGCAACAGTTACATTAGTGATTAAATCACATCACATTACACTTTTTAAATGCAACACTCGCCTCCTGAATGTCGAAAGATAGTTCTGAAAAAGGTTTACATTGATAACTCTTGTCATGTAGGAACTATGAAGGAAGTGGTGAAATGCTTAACAGACTATTAGACCCAAATTCTAGAGTTAAGATATACAAAAATATAAGTGGTTGTGCAGCCAGGGATCCAAGTGAGTATAATTTTTTTTTTTTTTTGAGCTTAGCAGCACAGATGATCTGATTTCATCTGAACAAATGTTTGTTTTTTTTACAGAAGAGAAAATACTGATGTAGGTGCTTTGCAATGCAGGTTTAACCATCACTTTTTAACAGAAAATTACAATTAATCAAACCTGCAATAAAGAGATAAATATAAATTAATCTGTACAATGTGAGGGGGAAATGAAGAGGAGCATCAAGTCTGACTTTTTTGTAAAAAAAAAAAAAACCTAACCGCTAGTCCACCTGAGCCCCATAAAATCCAACTTTAAAAAAAGCAAATATAGTGTTTCAGCTTTGGAAGAAGATTTCTTGTTTTGGATTATTTTGATTGAAGGAGAAATGTTGAGAATGAATCCAAATTTGAGATTACTGGTGAACGCTGAAAACCAAGTTGAACTTCAAAATAAAAGCACAATCTTTAAAAAAACATCCTCCTCTGCTATTATTTAATTCTTTCACAAATGAAAGTTTAACTTTACTTTAGACTTGCTTTATATTTTTATGGGAAGTTAAAAAGGTAACCGTCCTCCTTTGTTTATTTCTTTCTCTCATATCTTGACCTTTCACTTAAATTTTGACTTCATTTAATCAACTTGAAGCTGAAGGTTCAAAATTGAAAAAGATCTTCCTCCTCTAATTTGATCCCTGAGTCTCTGGCTCTGTGACTCTCTCTGCATATTTACTGCAGTCGATCTGTTAAGATGTCAGATTGATTGTGAGACTTGTATGAGGTAATAGCCAGAAGCATCATCATTTAATCACTATATATCCCTTTAGTCATAAATGACTTTAGCTTGTAAGTCTCCTGTCAGACAGCCATAGACTCCACCTCTTAATGTACTCATACTCGTCCATGAAACTTGTTTTCCCATCCCATTTCTGCAGGAGCGTCTCCTGCTCTCAGTGCTTCCCCGTCATGTCGCCATGGAGATGAAAGCTGACATAAATGCAAAGCAGGAAGACATGATGTTTCACAAGATCTACATTCAGAAGCACGACAACGTCAGGTAACACCAGCGTCCGTCCCCACCCTCCCCCGACCCTCCCCCACTCTTTCCACCACAACATCCAGCAGACAGAGCAGGTGGAACAATGAGAGGGAAACAGATTGAAGCTGCTATAAATACTTTTTTCAGCTCCATTAATCATTTTGAGCATTTTGAGCTGCTGAACTTTACCTTTAGTCTTAAAAACTGTTTTTTTTTTATGTGCTTCTAAATTTGACTCAGAAAAGTCAGAACAAAGACATTTCGGACGGTCTTAAAAAATGAAATGATATTATGATAGAGTCTCATTTTCACTGAGAACAGTTAAAAGCAAACTTTTTTTGCTGTGTTTTTCTTTATAAAGAATGTTGCCATAACTTCTTATACAGTAGGAGGAACCAGTGATCATTAGTTTTTAGTGTTTTTTTGTTGAGTGAATATTTTGGCAGTTTTTTAATATTGACTCATCCAGGTTAGAGATACAAAGTCTTCTTACAGGTGATATAATATCATGAAATGTTAAAGTATGCTGTGATTTCCTTTGGTTTGTCATCCTTCTGTAGACTTCTGTTACAAATCACTGCTACAGAGAATTGGTGTCTACTGGGAAAACTCAGGGGGGGCTCATTGCATTTAAAGAGACACACACACCAAAACGGAGCGTTCTTAAAAAGCTGGTTAATACAGGGTCACAAACCTCCTCTGGTGCTTTATTCATGCTATATTTTGACCAAAGCACTGCACAGATGTTTCATCTCTTGCTCTAAAAAATCATGCTGATGACGGATAAAACATGAGGTTGTTATTTGTGAGTCCACAAAAAAAATAAAAACTTGATACACAAAACATGCCGCTGTAGATCATTTCTAGCAGCCCCACTTATCTGGAATTTTTCAAGGCTTAGCTCCAATTAGAGTAATTAATGCTGTTCTCAGAGAAATGTTTTAATATACAATAAGGGTGTTACGGGCATGCAAACATTCAGGATGTTTTCGAATCTGTAATTTTCCCATCTAGTGAGAATGTCACAACACTCACACTCTCCTACCATTTATAGGTTGTGTTCTCATTGACATTTCATATGTTTGAACAAAGCCTCCGGTATTTACTGTTTTGCCATTTAACCAAAAAAGAAAAATAACAAAAAAATCAATGCGGCTTTGCTTCATTCAAAACCTCTTTAATTCCTGTGGTCACTCAGATCGGTGAAGATGGTCTTCACGATCCCTGTCGTTCCACCTAGTTCTGAGGACGGTCACTGTAGGGCTGTTCGGCGTCATTGAGGATTAAGTGGTGTTCATGTGCACCTCCTGACCTGCATTTATCGCGAATTCTCAGTGCATAAGGAATTACCATCTTGTGATTGCGTGGTTAAACTTAAGGCAGGATGTAAATTGCTCTTTGACCTGTCTCTGGTGATCTGCTGACTACTTATTGATCACTTTGACCTCTTCCCAGTCGCTGCATTAACTGTCTTTGGTGTGGCAGCAGATCGTCTCTTGCATTGAGGATGGAGTACTTGTAGTTTAACACCTTTTGCTTGACTTAAAAAAGATAATTTGCTTTTAGAATGTAGGCATTTTTACTCTGAAATCCCACTTTCAGGTGTTTTCAGGTTTGGCACCCCCTTGTGGAGCAGTATAACACTGAGAGATATGAGATATAACAGAATTGAAACAAGATTTATTAAAACTGTGTGTGGCCTTGAGTGTGTGTGTGTGTGTGTCAGGCTGTGCAGAGAGAGAGTTTCATGGCCTGTAGCTGTCACAGTCAGGTGAGAGCCCAAACCTCGACATATAACAGCTGCTATTGAAGCCTTTTATATCTTTGATGTGTCCCTTTGAATCCTCAGGGGTTAGAGCACCAGGTCACGTACCTGGAGCGCTTGTACACAAAAGGTCTTTTCATTCCTATTATGTGATCAGTAACCATCTTCCCTATGTTGCCTAAGTTTAAGAGTTCAGTAAAAGAAAAAAAAATATGAAGATGTCTATTTTTGAAAGCAGGAAAGTGTGGAAAATATGGACAATCTGGGAACATGTGACAAAGGAAACCACATGAGCATGCACACAGTTATGTTTAGAGAATATAGCATATATAGAATATGTTGTGTGGTGTGGTTTGCAGTTATAAAATACTAACCAAGAAGGTCATGTTGGTTCAGAGCAGATCTATTCATAACAGCAGCTGTCAGTATTTCTTGACAAGAGGAGATAAATCAACTGAAATCTGAAAGAAGGTATATTGATGGCTTGTTACTGTGGAGTATCCTTTTGTATTTTTTTTTTTCTTCTGTGACTCACTGGGGAGTAGGAGGCACATTAGCAACATCCGCTTAGCTTGGCTGAACCCTGTCTGTGGTCATGAGTGTGTGGTTAATGGGTAGCTAACCAGGTGTGACCGGGCCCGTCGGGGAGCGGGCAGTGGCTTTGTGGTAATTGGGGCTCTGCTGAGAGGCCAAGTAACAACAGGAAGAGAAGTGACAGCTCCCACTGCTGCAGCCTCAGAGTCAGAGGGATAACAGGGGGAGGGAGAGAGGTATACAGAGAGTTGCTCTGGGTTTGGAGCTTGTAGCTGCAGTACCTTGCATATGCTTTGCCATCAGTCTGTGAATGTGTGTGAATGTGTGACCTGCAGTGTAAGAAGCGCTTTTTAGTATTTTTACATTTTACAGTTTTTACAACCTGGATTTCAAAAAGACTTATTTGTCGATATGTTAGGATTTTCACAATTGGCATATACACCCATACTGATGATTAAAATAACTATTAAGACAATTGGGGATTCTCCAATCAGGTCTTCATGGTGGTGCAGTGGTGCAGTGGTCAGGTTCCTGGTTCGAGTCCCACGCCAGACAGTGTAGGGTTTGCATGTTCTCCCTGTGCATGCAATGGTTATCTCTGGAAACTCCAGCCTCCTCCAAAGACCTGCTTGTTCGGTTAATTGGTGACTAAATTGTCCCTAGGTGTGGATGGGACTGACTGTTCCTTTGCCCATGTACATGTCAGCCCTGTGATTGACTAGCAACCAGTCCAAGGTGTACCCCAGCCTTTCGCCCAATGGCAGCTGGGATCAGCGTCACCCCCGACGACCCAAACTGAAAGTGCTTTCCAGAGTTAAAAATGCTGTCATGTAGCTTAAACTTCAGTTGTTTCTAAGCTGCCTACAGTCTCTACTAGTTTTCCATTTTCTGTGGATGTTACTGAGTAAATGAACAAAGTAGAATGCTTCCGCTTTCCAGTATTTGAAGATTGAAGTCCTTAATTTGTGCGACTGGCAGTGGCTCGGTAACAGATTTAATCTGCTGTTCTTTTTCCTGAAAGTCTGTTTGTCCTCATGATGTCCTGTGGCTTCAGAAATTAGGCCCAATTTTTTTGCTGACTCAGGTATTATGAAAGGCTTTTTTTTTTTTTTTTTTTATTCAGGCGGATGTTTTGATGCTGCTGGTCACCCTGCAAGCAAAAAAAAAAAACTGAGAACCCTGTGACTGTGGCTGTTGTGTGTGTTATGTAGGCCAGCAGCACCCTGAAGAGAAAGAACATTACATGAATTAGAGGAACTGACCTCGCCTTTGTTCTCGTTCTTGTTGAAGAAAGGACAACAGTTAATGCTGCAGAGAAAACATGCATGTGATTTTTTTTTGTGTGGGGTGCCATTAATTATGCGCATGTGTGTGACACAAGGGCTGATGTTGTGCTGATGCTCACGGAGACGGACCTGAGATTCTGTGCTTAGAAATAAAATGTTCAGCTGTACAAATGAATTGTACCTCAGCGTTTATATACAAGTTAAGATACAGTTTTCTAGTTTCACTCGGATGACAAACATACAGGTGTGTTTCGTGTTATTAATCTATTAGAAATCTGTTTGTTTTTGAGGTAAAAGATGCTCAAGTCTGCAGTGCATTTCTGATATGTCACTGTTAATCCACAGAACTGCAGAGGAGCATGACTGTACAGGCTTCATGATCAAACACAGTTTCATTTTATATCAATTATTTCAGTCCATAATGACCCGCACGGTCGCTGTGCTGCAAGGTGAGACGAGGGCAGGTGCCTGCATCACGCTTTGTTGTATTTATTAATTTGTTTTGTTTTTTTAAGGATAATTAAGATGAGTAAGACTGTGCTGTTTTGCATTGGAATCATGAAAGTCAATAATTTGCATACAAAAATAACGTGTTTCTGGATTAATCACATTTGTTACATGTCAAGGTTGACAGCCCTTGTTTTGTTTCCTCTTTTTTAAGGTTTATTCGTGGGCTTGTTATACCTTTATTTAGAGATAGAACAGTGGTTTAAAAAACAAAAGGGTAGTAACATAGGGAAACTGCATTGCCAGATAAATATAAAAAAAAAACATGAGACAATGCCATTCCACACAGTTTAAATACAAAGCATGAATCTGATGTGCTTGTGTCGCTAGTTGTACCTTTGGGTAAAGGGTCATTGATTCTTTTATTGTTTGAAGGGGAACTGATACGGATAATTATGTGCTCAATGGCTGCAATTTGAACACGATGAATAAGGTGATGCCAATAATCTAGAAGGAGAGAGTAAAGACAGAAAGGTAGTGGTATAGACACAGAGGTAGAGATAGATAGGAACAGGAACTGAACAAAAGGGAGGGAGAAAGGATGACAAAAGAGGAAAAAAAGGCAAGCCACACGACGATTAAAGGACTCAGGGGTCAGTGTGAGATCTTTTCCCCGGCTGGGCTTAGCGAGCCACCAGCAGAGCAGGAGGGTTAAACAGCCGGGGGTGCAGATAAAAGGCAGCTGCTTGTTGAGGGAGTGAGTGCAGGATGACAGAGGATCAGAGGGTGAGTCAGAGCCCCCACAGCAGCTTCTGTTCAGCTCACATTGAACCAGAGCAGAGTTTGTGATGGCTGCACTGTAATCAAGAGATGGGACAGTTTCAATCTCTATTTGTCATTGTTTGTTTTCCAGTGTTGTTTAAAGTTTAACGCTGTGTCCTCTGGATCTCCCCATTTATGAGACTGTGCCTCAGTTTTCTTGTCTT